CCGCCCCTTTTTTTGTTGGTTTTGGCAGGGGGGGCTGTGCTTTGTGAGTCCTGGTGGAGGATATGGAGCTCTTCTGAAGGATGTCAGCAGTAAAAGGCTGTACTGGACAAAATGCTCAGGTTACTGCTATCTGATACGTCTAGGCATCCAGCTGGCATTCAGTAGGCCACACAGTCACTAAATTGTGTATTTACACTGCATTTTTGAGCAGCAATGTGCTAGGCACTTAATGACTTCCTACTGTTGTTTGGCTTTCTGTTGATGAGACCATGGAACAAAGATTACGTTTTCTGGAACAGAACATCTCTTGGGTGCTCAGACATGATATTTGTCCTGTGTTTGTATGCCAGGGAATACAGTCTAACCCATTCTGGGGCACTCATTGAGGCAGTCTGCACCTGTGTATTTTCTTCTGGTGACTAAAACTATTAAGTTACAGATCTTGTCAAATTACTTTGAGCCCCCTTAACCTGAACAAAATCTTATAAGCTGATTATACACTTTGAACTGACTGCAGCCTGATTTGATTTTCATAATATATATTACAATATGTGCCTGAAAACTCAAGATCACTGTACTGAGATGAAGACTGGAAATGAGTGGAAAAGTCCTTGTTAATAGGAAATTCAAGGTTACATTTAATTGAGAAGACACAAGAAATGTCTGGGTAAATATAGCAGTCACATGGGATTCAAGAATAACAGGCAAATTTGTGTAAGTTAATTTTCTATTTAACAAAGCCCTTTATTGCTTATAAAAATGTTTATATCTATATTAACATAATCCAGCTGTCAGTTCTCAAACCACTTAGTGCTGGTGTATTTCAGCTGTGTATTATACCACATACTGAGCCGAGGCTATAAAGTGATGTATACCAATTAAGATTAATTATTGTAAAATTTAGTATGGACGGATAGCTGGTCAAAATTGAGCAAATCTTCAATTAAAGTGTTTCTCCTTTTTTCTTTCTCGAAGAATGCTGTTTGGCAGAACAATGCTGATTTTCTGTGTCTAAATTTATCTTGACCTATTTGAATTGGATATAACGACTTTAATGTAGTTGTGGAACAGAGAACAGAGGCTGTCCTTGGGATCCCTCGAGGGTACGGGTTTCAGTTGCAGAAAAAGCAAAGTTTAAATGCTGTTTCCAGTTGAATGGAAAACTCTTGAGATTTGTGACTCTTATTCACGGTTTAAGTGATGTGTCGCATCAGGCCTGATAGCAAGGCTTTCTCTAAAGATACTGAAGAATTCAGAAATACACAGACTATAATAAAGTCAAGGAAAAGTTTTAAAACTGTGTACTTAAACTTTCTAATCAGAACTATGTAATTTTGGAGTAAGCGTGAGTTGCTGAGGGCTTATGAAAACCTTTTATTCAAATTCAGGACTATAAACAATATGCTTTCCCTGTGTAGGGTGGAGATTATAGATCTTATTTTAGATCTAGATCTATAGATCTTATTTTCTTGTAGATTTTTGAAAAAGATGCTATAGCTTCACTGTGGCAAAGTTGAATTGTGTTTCTAATTTCCCTCAAGGTATTTGAGTAAAAGGCGTGACAGGCATAGAGCAGGAAGGTGCAGATTATTATGGTCGGAAGAGAAACCAGTGTTTTGCTTAAAATTCATCCTATTGTGATTAACATAATAGCAATTTGTACTTGTAGGTACAATGTCCACTTAGTAATCTTAAAGTGGAGGTGCTATATAATTCAAAACAGTGTCTTGAAGCCCAGCAGGGCTAAATTATGGAAAAATGTTTGTCTTCCTTGATTGTAATCATCTGTACTTGCAGCCCATTCAGTTTGAAGATCTAAAAGAGCTTTATTAAGTGATGTAATCATGTATAGTAAGTAATATTAGGTCTGTCTCGCGGGGAAGGGGAGGGGAGAGGTACAGAGGTGAAATAAATGATATGCTGAGTTGGAACTGGGATCTTAAGTTTAGTTGCTTGATTTCCTGTCATTTTTTTCTAAAACATTGGATTAGCTTCTCTCATTGGGTTGTTATGCCTTGGCCTGTTTTTGCATATGCACCTGCTATTCCCTTTTTTTTTTTTTTTTACTGACTTGCAGTTCTGGAATGATACTTAAGGTGTTCCTTTCATTCTCCAGTCTGTTTTCCTTCTGCAGATACTTTAAAGTGACTCTGCTGATGAATATGGTGTTTAGATTTTGTGAGGAGTACTAGTTCTCTGGGAACTGATGTTCAGGTCAAGAGTATTTCTAACCTGTCAGCTTTGGCAGGTTTCTGCGAAGACAGTCACTAAAGTTGAGATTGTTGCAGAAAATTAAAACTTGCACAGAAATTCATAGATTCCCGCATCTCTTCTGAATATGGATGAAAATACAATCCAGGAAAATGGGAGGGGGGGATGTCATAAAGTTGGCTATAGTCAGGGGCCATCTAAAAATAATTACCTTTATTATAAACTTACATAAATATCTTGCTATCTTGTGTGTTTAATAATGCCAGAGCTGCTTTTCCACAGTGAAATTTTACTTGTCTAATTTTCTAAACACTTTGTGACCATCTGTCTTCACTCTGGATATGAGACATTAATTAAAGCCTTTAAGAGATGTGCAGTAAACTTCCCTTCAAATCTCTGAGAAGTCAGTTTTTTTCACACAGCTTAAAGGAGACCATTAGCTGTCTGGATTCCTGTCAATAAAACAAACTCTGGTGATGCTAGGGGTAAGTCCAATAATTAGGGGTAGTGACATACTAAACAGCAGAAAAATCCCCAGCAGTTAGCAAAATGTCTGGAAGAATCCAGATGTGGGAGATTCAGTATGACGATTTCTATAGGTTACATCGGTGCACTGCAGAAAATGCAATGACAAACTAAAAGAAGTGCTCAGTAACGTAGTCAGTTGTATTTATTGCTAAAATAATTGCTTGATACTGTTGTGCTGATATAAACTCAGGGTGTCTCTGTAAACAACTGTCTCGTAACAATACATACAGATTTCTGCCCTACAGAAGCTAACCAAGAAATACCTTTGGAAATTGCATTTTTGGGGGCGTACCTTTAAAAAAAAATAATAATGCAGCTGTAATAACTCCCTGAGTTTGTTTGAATATATCCTCCAGCAAATCATGTCTTCACCTCTGAGCAATTAAAACAGTAGAACAGAATTTCACTTGAATGCATTTAATGCTTTTTTCTTGGTTTTGCCATATGCTGATTTCTCCTGGAGGGAGAAAATCTGAGAGTATCATGTAACATTTTTCCAAATAGAATAATAAATGAGTGGGTGTTTGAGATGTGAAAGGATATGAATCTCTTGAAGCTGGCTTAGATAATTTGTTTTTTTAGTTGCAGGGAGTAAGTCCAATGTTTTCAGGAGCATTTTCAGCTCAGAAGATTGTGTGCTTATGCAAAACATGGCCAAGAACAGATGAAGGTGAAATATGGTAAATTAACGAATGGGTCAGGTCTCTAGTTTTTCCTGAGTCTGGAAGACTTGACTAACTTCCAACAGCAGTAAAATAGCCAGATCTGCTGAAGGGTTCTGCAAGAACAGGACCCCCCTGCCCCAGCTCTGCATGTCCGAGTGCCTGACGCTGGTCACAGCTCTGTGGCACAGGCTGCTCTTTTTCTTCTGAGCTTTGTTGTCTTCCTGATCTATATTCTGGGAACTTCTTCCTTGGTTTTTCAGACAGACTTAGATAAGTCCCCTGGAAAAAAAAAGTCTTCAGCTCAGCTGGCACTCTTAATCTAAAAATATGAGGCACGTAATTGCTGTTAACACTCATAACAGTTTTAAGTTCATGGAAAGTTAGCCAATATTTTTAATGGAGCTACTTCACAGTTAGATTATGTTCCTGATGAGCGTGTCATTGCTTCATTAGGTTTCTCCCCTCATAGTTTTCCTGCATTTTGATAGCAAATGATCCTTTGCTCTCAAGGACATAGCCAGGGCTGATGTTTCTGTGAAACACATGGTGATGCCACGTACAGATGCATTTCGTCTTCTAGGTGTCCGTGCCACTTTCAGAGATCAGCCTAGTAAGAAGGGTTAGGGAAGAAAACTTGCAAAAAAAGATCATTACCATAAAAATTTAATAAACTCATAAGTGCTTATGTATAGTGGTAGTGAAAATGATGAGATTGATATACTCCAGCTACTAACTTATACTTCATTAACTTTATTAGGCAAAATTACTTAAGACTTCATAAATATCAAATGCTAGTCCCTGCACACAGAGCAGTATCATAACACTTATAAGCATCATTAAGTGCTGGAGTGCACATTCGCACACATGTGTTGTAGCAGAAGTGAGATCACTAAACAAAGGAGATGCATTTATTTTCTGGGGAACAATTTTGTGAATTCATGGGAGTTTTAAAACTATTTCAAGGAGTTCTGCATTTCCATAATCAGGTATACAGATGCCTTATTCTGAAGTTTTTACCCAGCAAAATATCAGCTGGGTATGTCAGGTGTTTCTGGGTTGGATGATGATTTATGGGGTCATGGTTCAGATTGTAGCAATCCCTCATTTCTTAGAGGCTGGACACCTGTGCTCTGGTTGAAGCTGGGGAGATGCAGCAGGAGGCACTTGCACTGTGCTGTTGTGGGGGCCTGGCATTCGCTCTTCTTTGTGCTCACTGGATGGAGCAGTCATGGGGTTAAACATTGAAGGTCTACTTACTGTCAGTCATTCATCTCTAAACCTTCTAAGTGAAGCACAAAGTCCTTTCAAAAAGTAAAAAAAGCTTTCATAATGATGAGGCTGTGTCTTATTCCCACAGAATTCAGAAGGAACAAGTACATATTCTTCCATTTCAGACTTTTTCTTTAATTATAGCCTCAGATTTTTCATCACAGTGGTCAAAAAGCATCTCTTAGTAGTACAAAGAACTATGCCCATCCAAGGTATTTTAGAAACAGCTACGTAAATGGATTTGTCTGAAGATAAGGACAGGTTGAGCTTGTTAAAACCAAGTTGACAAGTTAAGTGGAGAAGCCTGTCTTGAAGTGGCATGTGATGGGACACCTGTGCAGGCAGGCAGCTATAGCTGAGTGGAAGCAGAGCAGAGGTTCTTTTTTACGGATGAATTCAGCTTGGGTCAAGGTATGCCTGAGTGTGGGAAGAAAGGTAAGAGTTCCCTCATGGTATAACGCTTTTCTGAATCTTTTTTCTGGGGGGTGAAGCTTTGCTCATCTGTATATTTGTGTGATGGTGGTGAATTTCTCTGCAGCGACCTGGAGCTGGAAGTCCAGACAGTCCTTCTGAGCTGCTATTTCTCTTCAAGTTTTAGTTTCAGTAGTTTGACAATAGCTGAGTTCTGGGAAAGGTATCCCTAAGGGAATCTAAAGTGTGTTTTCTGAAAGCTCTAGGGATAGCTCCATTAATCTAGATTTAGCGAGTTGTTTGGGATGTAGTGTTCTTATTATCGCTGTAGAAACTGCCCGTGCAGAGACGGATTGAAACAGGACCACTTTCCTGAGAGATATTTGCCTTCTCAGACTTATAATAGGAAAGCCATGGGGATGCAGGCTGAAGGGAATTCTTGCCAGGATGAGCAATTGCGTCTCTTGTGTACCCGGTTCTTGGTATTTTTCCTAATTCCTGGTTTCTTGCTGGTGGTTTTGGCTTTGTGGCCATCCCCATTGAACTGCAGGCTGCTGGTTTACAGAAGAGGGAGCAGTCATGCTCCTTTCTCACCTGGCTGCTCCTCTTGGCTTTCCTTGGTGTAATCTGTTGAAACAGCTCTTTTTTTTTTTTTTTTTGTGAGTGCAGATTAATGAACGGTTAAAGAAGAGAGAAATGAATGTTAACGTACTGATGGGACTATATCACTGTATATATGTGACTGAGTAAGCCCTGCCATGCCTGCAGTGTGCTTAACTGCAGGGCTTCTAAAATCAGGAAGGGCTCAGGAGAGACAGGCAGCCGTTGAGGGAGGCAGAAGTGCTGCAGCAGCGCGTGCAGGAGCAGAGATGCATTCCTTACACCCTACTCTAAAAGGCTATTGTATAGTTTGCCTTATTAGTATGGAGCCATTTCATTGCTTTTGATGTGTGTAAATGCTACCACAAGCTCTTGCTGTGTAGTAATTCTTAACCGTGCTAGGTGTGTTTCCCTGAATTATGGTGACGAGGTTGCCTAATGTTGCTTTACAGCGCCTATTGCCTATTTACGGATACAGCAGGCTGTTTGGGGTATAGCTCTTGCAAAGGCAATGATGAGCTGCTGCACAGACTTGTCACTAATACCTGAGTGCATTCTAGGTAATCTGTTCTGCAGTATTTTTTACTGACATGGTCCCTCTAAAGCTAAGAGAGTAACGGGTGATTTGTAAGCCTGAAAAAAGACCTCCATTTGTCAGGTGGGGGGAAAAAGTTGTACCAGGTCTGCAAAGAGGCTTCATAATTTTTACATGTGAGCGTCTTGGAAAATTTCAGGGGGGAAAAAAATCAAGCTTTTATTTAAAAAACAAAAAACAACAAAACCTTCTGGTATGCTTACTCAGAAGAGCCATATGTACCGTAGTCAGTGTGGATAAACCTCCTCAGCTGAACCCTGCTACCCGGGGGAACAGGGTGTTCTTTAAAGTTCAAATCAGAATTTAAATTTTTCATATGCTCTTCTTGTCTAATAGTACGTACAAACACACAGCTCTCATGTAGGGTATTTTTTTCATCTTTCCATCTCTGCTCAGGCAGAAGGATTCTTATTCTGGTAAATGTTCAACTGGATGAAAACCTCGATTAGGGGGGAAAAAAAGTTTTAGGGACTGCTTAGCTGGGTTAGGCCTGTACAGGCTGATAGGGAACGAGAGATGCTTGTCTGCTGGGACAGCACTGTGAATCCAGGATCATCTGAGGATCAGGAAATAAGATTTTTGCCACCTAATACTCAGGAGGAGCTCTAGGTCAGGTGGCAGAAATTATGTCCCAATATGGTTTTTGGATCCCTGTGAATGTGGGTGAAACAGCCTGTGGGATTGCGCTGGGCTCTCTTTTCAGACACTGTCTCTGTGGCTGTGGCCGTGATCCCATGTGCTGTTCTGGTCGTGGGTTCCATGTCTGGCTGTGGGGCTTCCCTTCCAAGGGGTTCTGGCTCTCCTGCTTCTGATAAAACTCATTTGCAGGCTAAATCCTTCTCACTGTGATAAATTATTTTTTCTTTTCTGCATCTTTGCCTTCCAACCTCCCTTCTTTCTTTTTAATATAACTAGCACAGGTGGGATAAAGGCAAAGAGCAAGTTGCTACACCCTAGGTGAAATTTATAGCTTTTGAAAAGCTCCTGTGGCTCGGGATGTTAATCCTAACCTGGGACTGTTGCTTAAAGAAGCAAATGTTTAATAACCTGCCCTAATGCTCTGCTGCTGGCAAGGGGAAAAAGACTGAGCAGTCTTCCCCCAGACATGCCACTGTAATATCTCATTGCAGCAGTTTTAGTAATGGCACAGAGCTTTGAATTTTTTTAAAATCTTAAAAGTGGTCCCAAGCACATACATATGTACCAAGGCTGTCTCTGATTTTTCCAGAGTTCATGCAAAATTTAGTTTAATAATAATGAGACAGGTTTGTGCCTCCCCCCTGCCCAAAGAGTGCTTTCTGTTGAGGAAGGGGTGGGAGGCCTTAGTGGGATTGCTTGACAAAGGTTGGAAAAGGAGGGCTAAAGGGGTTGCTGTGTGGAAGGTAGCTTCATCCTTTTTGGTTGTTTGGCCTCCTGTCTCTCCCCCTCCCCATCCACTTGCTCCACAAAATCTATTTCTCCTTTGCCATGTGTTGCCTTCCCTCTGCACGGGAGTCTTGGCTTTGCCCTGAGCTTGTTTTGTTTTTTTTTTTGTACTGCGCTTTAAGATGGAATCTCTAAGTCCAGCTAGAGACCAGAGTCCCCTTGCTCTAGGCACGCACAAAATGCTGTCTTCTGCCCCTGAAGGGTTTTGAAGGTTATATTTTTGCAAAAGTCCAGTTCTGCAGCTTTAGTTTTCGTTCTGGGGGTGGTAAGTTGATCTAGTCTGCTGTTTAGCCCAGTGTAAAGCTCTGAAGTCACTTGAAGAATGTGGATGAGGGTTTAAGAAAATGTAACCATCTTCTAAAAATTTAAAATGAGCAGGCTTCACGACCTAGCAGATTAATTCAGAGGGAATCAAGTGATACACGGCAGAGGTAAGACATCTGATGAACAGCTCCAGTACAGGAGGGCAAATGATGTCAGCTTCATTTGAAAGTAATTGTTTTTGTACATGGCTGGCATATAAACTATGATAACCTGACATTACAATAACCTGACACTACAACGTGTTCCTCAGTACAAATGGGTGGTGAAAGCAGATGTTTTATTTTAGTATTCAACCAGCAGCACTTCAGTGGCACCTAATTAGCGTATATATAGATACAGCTATTTGAGACAAAACCACTGAAGAGCAGAAATGTCTCTACAAGTACTGGTCTGCAACTTTTCTGGACTTCCAATGTGTGAGTTTATTGCTGGACTAGTGTTGCCGAGAAGCAGTAAATAGTTCAAAACCAGCACAAGAGAGAGGTTCTCCAAGACAATTTCTTGTTGGTAAATGCAAAATAATTACCACATGATGGCTTCTCATTCCAGTCTTCAAAATAAGCTCTTGATCTCATTTTGTTCTTTAGTAGACAGGTATACTCATACAAAAAAGTGATCACCAGAGTTAGTGCTAATTAGCTGCCTTGCTGGCAGTCTTTGCCCAGAGACGTGAGATGTGAGAGGACAGCAGATGTTAAAATATCCTTTTATTCTCAGTTTGCTCCTTTTGTCTTGTACTTTGTTGTCACTTACATCTGTGCATTGTGAAGGTTAAAGAATGTGATCCATCATTTTTACGTTTCTGTGGAAATTGCTGTGAATGGCACAAGGTGTAAGGCAGTGCAGGACTGGGCACGGTATTTCTAGAAGGGACGTGGGGAGTTGGCAACATGTAGAGTTCACATGGCTGCCACTTGTAATATTTTACTTTTTCTTGCAGTAATGTGACTTTTGCAAACACTAAGTAATGTGTTTTTATGAAGCCTTGTGATCGGCTGGTGCCCAGTGGGCAGAAGTGTTACCAGGCTGATGGCTTGCAGGTGGGATATTTTAGTGAGGTAAACTCATGGGTGTGGATGATTTTTTGCAAGCTCTGTTGAAGTCTGGTATGCAGAAGAACTTTGTGAAAAGAGGCAAATTTGACACATCCCTCCAAGATGTTTGTATTTTTCCTATTGTGTATGAACACCTTCCACTAGAGGAACTTGGTGTTAGCAAATATGTGGGGAGTGCTGTGAGCATTGGAATGTATCTTCAGCATTCGTACAGACCTAAACACAGGTAAATCCCTTGTTCTTTTCAGTCCTTAAAAATGTTTAATTATTGCAGTCCTGTTTTGGAAGTTTCCCTTTCTCCAAGTTGTTCCAAGTGCTCCTTGCAGATAAGGGTTCTCCAGACAAGTGTATCAGGGAAACACGGGGCCCTGTGTGCTTCAGGTGATATCAAAACCTGTGATATTGAACAGGATTTAGGTGGTGATGTATTGGTAGCTTAATGCAATCATGTATGCAGGGTGTTGGCTTAGAACACTTTTGAAAGCAAGATATTTTTGTGAATTTTAAAACTCCGCTGACTATTTGAGTGGCTTAATGAAAACCTTGACAGTCCTAACTTGTCTCTTTGTTTTCTGACTGCTAAATGACTTTTATTGTATTTTACTTTATGCCATAGCGTTATCACAGACTGAAATGAATTTATCCCTTTTCTCCTTCCTCAGACAGAAACTGATGAGGTCTCAATTTTCCAAATAGGCTTCATTTACAGGCACAGAAACCTCTGAAAATTCAGGCTGCTTTCATTCCCCCATTTCAAGTTCCAGACAGTAAATAGTGTGCAGCAGTATGGGGAACACAACACAGAGCTTTTCATTTACAAAGCCCTATTTGCAGAGCTGGGGAGAAGTCCTTTGTCTGGCAATGGAATGAGTGCAATGAGAAGCAATGGCTTTTCATTTTCTTTGATCCAATAATTTACTGACGGTACAGTCCCAAGAATGCCCTTGCAGTGCTTGCATCGTGGTGTGGCATTGCATCAGCTGCTTCTAACCTACAGAGGGAGCAAATGTAAAATGGGGGTGGGG